CGGGCAGACCCAGGATGGACAGAAACTCCTTCTGCATCTCCTTCTTCTCGCGGCTGCTGAGCCGTTTGAAGCTGGACTGGACCACGGCCTCGGCCTGCTGGCTCCACAGGTAGAGAGAGAGCAGGAGGAGCAGGGTCCTGAGGTGGAGGAAAGGCCGCTGGGGCCTGGAGGTGGACCCAGTGTGCTGCTGGAAGGAGATGCTGCTGCTCATCTCGCTGCAAAGAAAGGAGAGGCTGTAGAAGACGTCTGAGGCCATGGCTGTGCTTCGTCTGCGGACTAACTAACTCACAAATACGCTTGTGATTCAGGTGGTCTTTGCTCCTGTTACCAGAGCTTCTCCTACTTGCTCCAGTTTGTCTGCAGAGTCCCCAGAGACAAACACAGCGCTGATTTATGCCTGGTGGTGTTTAGGTGAGAGGTGGCTCTGGACGGGACGTGTTTACCGCCTGAAGCTGCCTCTGTTTATCTGTCTCTCTTCCACCTTCTCTAATTTTGAAGAAAATTAACTCCCTCACCTCTCACATCAATAATGCACAACTACAACCTTGTTTGCTTTTCAGCCAGACAAACAACCCACCTATGAAAGACTGGTCTGTGCTTTGAAGCTGTAAACTTGCAGGATGCAAAGGAACCTCAGTGATGAGCAGATGCCAGACAGACTGCAGTGAAATGCGAGATGCGCGTCATCACATTTGCTCCGGGTTTTTTTTTTTTTACCTCAGGACGAAATGAAGTCGCACCTGCAGTGAATCAACGTTCAGCCAGAAATCTCAAGAGAATCACTGCTGAAAGCCTTTAACCAGTCATCGTCGAGGACTTATTCACCCCCCCCACCCACACCTCTCTGGAGTTCCAGATGTCCTTCGTTATCCAGTTTATAAAGGCAATAGCTCCAGGAAGTTGTTTCCTGATTGCAGGCGAGAGGTTTTCTGACCCCTGTCGCAGCTCATGTGCACACTGAGCTGTTGTGAATGAAGCCTGCGGTGTGGGGCAGTTGTTCACAACCAGGAGGGAGTTTCCCTCCCAGGGTCCGCCTCGTCACCCCTCCCAGTGGTCTCCCTGGGAGGCCTCGTCTCTCTCTGCCTCCTACCTCCACCCATATCTTCTCATGACTGTGTCCTTTCATAGAGCTGCTCAGGGACAGATGTCAAGTGGCTGATGCGCCGTTTAAATGTGACATAGTGCGAGGGTTTCACGGCCAGACACGCGTCACAATGGAGCAAAAAGACAGTATGATGTTATCTGTCAAGTCAAAAAAATAATGGCTACAACTAAAATGATGTTTTCTACTCCTCCTTTAATCTCCAGGCATTTGGTTTTATTTTTTCCATTTAGAGCCAATCACATTTTTCTCCAGCTCTTTAGTTTAGTTGTTTCTTTGGATCTGGACACAGGACTAAACCACAGCAGATAAACACACTGGGCAGTAGCTTTGGTAGACAGCTACCTACTGCCTACAAGTTTCTAGTTTGACATTGTATGAAAGTAAATCCCAAATGTGAAAAATGGCACTTAACTTATTTCCATTGTGCACGCGCCTGAGGCACAATTACTGAAGAGCTAATGGCCAGAAATAGTTCCCCACATTTTTACAGTTTTTCTCTAATATCGAGATCTGGTTTTAACTGGGAGGCTAAAGGAAAATGTCTTCGGCGATGTATTTGGGGGATTTGTCATCACACTTTTGGAAACTCCTGAACACTCGTGCGCAGTAGTGGCAGGTTTTGCGTTGTGCTGCAAAACACGATTCCCCGCTGAGCCGTTAGTTTGCCAAGCTCGTCCTGCAGCAACGCACTCAGTGCATGTGTGTCTAAGCCAAAAGGATCGGGGAGGAAGAAGTGACTCAAATATAGTAGTGAGGTTCAGCTCTGTGCCAGCTTGTGTTTGTGTACTCTGCCTTCAAAGCGGCCTGGTACTTGTGGTCACTTTGAAAGGCATGAATAACACTGACCAAACCAAAGAGACCACGGTTCATTCTGTCCTGGCCGAAAGGGCGAGTCCCACATGCCAGGAAATTGACGCTCTGCCCAGTTTGTTTTTCTTCTCTCTGCACATCTGCAACTTGCCCGGAGAGATAATGGTGAGAGGAGAGAGGGAAGATGAAGAGGGGTGACAATAAGACTAAGTAGTGCCCTTAAAACCACGTAAACCCAAGCAAAGTGAAGAACGACATTCCTCAAAGGGAGAAGTGGTGGAAAAGAGCGAGGACTGTCATCAGAGAGAGTCTGGGCTGACAGCAAGCGAGAGGAGTGTTTGTACACGCAGCTGCAGGGGGTGGACTCAGGTCTCATCATCGCCACTAAACAAAGCTATTTTCAAATGCTCCCTCTGTCTCAGACTGTGATGGAGGATGTCAAATCCCAACGCTGAGACAGAATGGAGAGACATTTCAAATGATTAGAAACACTGGAAAGCACCACCTCTGTGTTGACCTGCTGTCTGTGCGCTGAAGTGAGGACGCAGCCGGGCGTGTCCTTATCTCTTACAGGATAATTACCTAGAAATGTCCGGTCACTGCCTCAGCGGTCTGTTACCGGGCACGAGTGACCGAAGGCATGCACATGCACGAGAAAAGAACAAAATTACACCCACTCAAGTCACTATAAATGATAAACACATGTACATGTAACCCTACTTGGAAAGAGGTCGTGTTAGGATTTTGGATAAATGTAGATGTAAAAAGAAAATAAACGTCATGTGATGCACATAAAAACACATCACCCCGACAGAAAAACACGAACAATGTGAGACAATCACAACAGAAAACACACAATTAGTTCTAAGTGCACAACTAAAGTGTGTGCAGTTTAACATCTTCATTTACCCTTCAAAAGCCAAGTTGTTAACAATAATCAATCATACAGAAAAAAACAACTCTCAAAGAAAAAACCCTGAAGAAAAACTGCAAAATCTTCATTTTCCCCAATGAATTCATTATTCATTAAGTCTAAAATGCCCAACAAGTTCCCAGAGCTCATGTTGATGTACTGGGGTTGCTCGGTTTTGCCTGAAAAACAGTGCAAATGCCAAACAGATTCAAGACATGAGAGGTTGGAACCAGTTACTATGGCACGCGCGCGCGCACACACACACACTGCAGCTTTCAGGTTTGATATGCACAAAATACACAAAATACCCAAATCAAAGACAAGAGCCAATTTTACTGCAAGCATATCTTTAATACAAAAACAGAACAAAAAATTGTTTATAATTTTAGTTTTTTGTTTTACTTCAACACAGTTGACTCCTAGTAACCCCCCTCCCTCCATGTCGTCATCATCACACAGTAGCACAGCATCAAAAGGTGGTCGACTCGTCTCCTGCGCCCAGAACCCCCCTCAGAGACCTTAAATAAATAAAAATCACCTTAAGATGACTTCTTTCTTACTGTAACGTCATTTGCTTTCACAAACTTCATCTCTTACACTGAGATAACACAGAGACAACCCGTCCCGTCAGCGACGGGACATTTGAAAAAAGCCTAGAAGAGCAGACGCTGGGGCGGGACCTGAGGGAGGAAACCCGCTCTCATTGGTCCCCTCTGCCCAGGACTCCTGTCATTCATATTCGTAATTCTCTCTACACATGAAGGGCAAACCCCTTTGGTCGTGGTGTGGGAAATGTAGTCATTAGCAAAAAGAAAATGAACAAACGAGGCTGCCAAGTGAATGACGTCATGTTACAATGAAGTAGAAACACACCTTACACACACAGGTAATGTCAGAGAGCGGACACTTCCTTGGTACAAAAATCAGGATTTCATTAACCATAATACTGAATCAGTCTCTGCCCACGGTGATATGACAAGAAACTGCAAAATAAATAGATTTTTCTTTCCAAGCTAGAAAACAAAAGTACAGCTGGATTATAAATTAACCAGAAAAAGAGAAGAGACAAAATGATATTTGCAAATTAAAAGTTTGCATACAGTGACTCAAGCTAATGACTTCTGTTATTTCCTGTAACAAAGACGCACCATACACACCACCCTTGTGTGTGTGTGTGTGCGTGTGTGCGCTGCTAAGGGCTACGCAGTGCAGACATTAAGGTGGAGCTGCAGAGGAAGAGACAATTAGTGCATGCTGGTTGTCAGATTCTGCTAAGACGGTCATTGACATGGCTAAGTTACACGTGTCGTATACTGTCAGTAATGTGCTGTTAGTTGACTGTCACCATAAAAATAGTCCTTTCTATTGCCAGGGTTGTGATTTTTGTGTGTCGGATTATTACGCTGGCTTGGGGCAGAACCACACTGCCCTTTGCTGAAATGCACGCACGAGGTTGATCCTAGTGTTCCAGCAGGTGGGAGAAACTTGCTCTGCGTTATTTGAGCGTTGGCCCTCAGCAGCATCACCACAGACCCTGTGAGGCTGAGGTTAGCCCGAGTGTGTGTGTGTGTGTGTGTGTGTGTGTGTGTGTGTGTGTGTGTCGGACAGCGTTTCCCGCCTCCTGAGCTCTACAAACGTGGTGCCTGCCTCTGCAGATCTGCTGAGGAGACGCTTTTTTCTCAGGACAAGGCAGTCGTTGCATATTTTCTTTTTGAGCTCATCGTTAAGGCATCTGACCCACAATCCAAAATAATAACCAACAATTCTTTTCTTTTTTCCTGAATGCCATTTGAGCCTTTTTTGTTTTTGCAGCCGTGGTGGTGGTGTCTCACTCCCTATCCCGCCTGTGTTAAACTGTGTATTTGTGTGTCTGTGTGGTATAAAGCAGTTTACAGACTTTCTCTGTTGCTCTGTCTGACTGGGACAAAAGTGTGCAGCACAGAGTAAGGCAGCATCACGTCAAGTCAGTCGGTGTTTGGTTCCATGCTGGTGGGGAACGTCGGAAAGACAAAGCAGGAGACTGGAAGGCAACCTGGGGTTACTTCTTAAAGGGGAACCCACACAGTCTGACCTGGGACTGCCAGGCCAGAACTCTTCTTCTCTGGTGCATGTTTCCAGTCGGTTTAGGAGACTGGTGAAAGAGTGAGAAGGAGATTCACTCATCTTATCCATCTCCTTCTTTCCCTTAATAAATATCAGCGCTGTGGATGGATGTTCAGATCAAAGAGCTGGTACACCCAAGATGGCCGACAACAGCGGTCCTCCTCCTGTGAAATGGAGTAGTAACGGTTCAGCTCTGGTTTCTTTGTGGGTGGTGTTACTTCTTTGCAGACCCTGGGGTCTTTGGACTGGGGGTCTTCTTGGAGATGGTGGGGATCTTGGAGGGTTTGGCCCCAGCACCAGGTCGTCTCGGGGTGTCTGAGGTGTCGGAGCAGACGGAGTGAGCGTCCTGGAGCTCTGATGCGTCTGAGGCATCGCTGCCGCGGCGACTGCTGCCTCCGCTGCCCGCCCGGCTGCCGGCTCCGCCGGGGGGGCCGCCG